AGTGTATTACATGGAGACTCATACTGATATGGTCTTTAGCACAACCTGTCACTCACAGGAGAAGGGGAGTGCTGACACCATTTTTCTGCTTGTGTCAGGTCCGATTTGATCTGTTCAGAAGAGCAGGGGAGAATTCTGGAGAAGGAGATTGCTTCAAGATAGAAAACTAAGCTCAAATGCTTAGTAAAGGTAAAATATATTCAACTGTAAGATTAGATTGATTTGTGTTTTAGATTTACAACTACTTTAAGCCTCTAGCACAGCCTTTTCCAACCAGGGTTCCTAGGCACCCTGGGGTGTCTTCAGGCTTCTTCAGGGGTGCCTTGGCAAAATGCCTCATAATTATTAAAAAATTGTATACAAGCCAGCAGGTAGATGAAGCCTGCCTTTTAGTTACACAAATCCACAGGTTTTAATTGTGCACCATTGCAACCTAATAGCCACTGGCATATTAACATCTAAATGTAGGCCAAAATGTATTCTGCTACATGTATATGGTAAAAAACAAAATCCCAGTAAGTGTATATTAATTGGTTTGTGTGAAAGTCCTAGCTACAAACTATGGTATATACAGTATTGTATATTTGAAAATTATCATTCCTGATGTACTGATGGCTTATCTCATTTATTGAGGCCCTAAATTGCCAGGAGAGTACAAATACCCCCCAAAATGACCCCTTTTTTGGAAATCAGACAGGCTGACACATTTAGTAAGAGACATGGTGAGTTTTTAGAAATTGTAACTTTTTTTTTTTAAGATACTGATACTGTACCCAGTGAAGTACAGCATCATCATATGATTGGTGTGGCAGTGATTTCAATTTAAATACTTTTTATTAAATTTTAAAACATTTTTTACTATTTTTTTAATATCCTGTCATCAGGGCAGCTCAGTGTCACTATAGTATTTTACCATTCATGAACAGCTTGCTGTTGGTTGTGATCTGTGATTGGCTAAGCTAATCACATGGCACAGGTAGCCAAGAACGATGTAATTGCTTTGGGCCAATCACAGATCACAACAGTAAGCAAACTGTTCATGAATGGAACGCCAGTAATGACAAGTTGTGTTCATTGGTATCATGTGACCGCTATGGCCAATCATAGTGATCACATGATACCCAGTTACTAATTACCGGTAACTGAAATGTGATATGTCCAATGGACACAGAAATCATAGGAGGGGTGTGCCTCATGCCCCAGGGGGCATGTTGCATGCTCCTATCTGAGAGAGGGCACAATGACATACATGTACGTGATTGTGCCTGCATGTGTACAGTATATTTACTGTGGCGGGTCGGCAAGTGAATAGTCCAACAGTCTGATTCCTCTCAAATGCATACTCTCACTCAAACGTTTCACACAAAAACTTCCTTTTGCTTTTGGATGATAATCTTGAATTCTTAGACTTTTCAATATCCCATGCTTGAGCATGGCTACCAGTTCTGCACATGAATAGAAGGGAATAGGGGTTTGGACACCCCAGGTTTACAGAAAACCCATTCCCAACAGCAGTGTAAGTGAAGTGATCCCTTTGACACACTGCCACTGAAAAAAGTTCATGAATTCTATTTAGCTTAGTGTTTCTGGTTAATGTTTGTTGATTTAATTGAACCACTTAAAATGAATACTTGATCTAACATGAGTCAGAACACATCATACAACAGAGGCATAGTGGTGATGTATATTTTTAACTTGTATGGAACTACAAAGAGATTACTCATTGCTACAGTATGTTATTTATCTGGTAACTTTAGATATGAGTTAAAAAAGTGTAACTCCAATTTTGCACTAAAAAAGTATGAGAGAGGTATAGTTACATTAAGATCCTTTAACAAAAAGAAATAATTATCTGTATGCAATGGAAGTAACCTTGCATATTCTCTATAGTGGAAAACACCGCCATTAGCTTGTTGCACAGAGGTGTCCATTGTCGCAGTTTCAAACTGAGAAGTGGCCAACAGATTTAACAACACTCCATAAGAAATTTATTGGCTTAACTTTTAAGCCTTTATCACTGCTGTTATGACAAAAAGTTAAATTGACCGACATTACAATTCTCAACCCCCTTTCTGTACTGGCCCCCCAAAACAAGGGCACCTTCTTGTTGGCTTTCTGAGCTGAACAACGCTCTGTCAATTCACTTTGTGTGAGTCCTGGTATCATGTACCCACTCCCTGGCCATGTGTCATCATGCCATCCAGGAATCACAGTATTGTTCTACTGAACAGTGCTTAGGTCATTGTCACTGACCAGTACAGCTTAGTGGGTGGGTATACTGAAAAATGTTTAAAAAAAAAAAACAGTGGGGAATGGGCAAAGGTGACGCTCCCTAACCTAATCAAACTTAGAACCCCCTCCCCCACCGTTCAGTTGCTTACTTACCTCTTCCTATTGGGGATTTATATCTCAGTACCCTAAAACTTCTCTAGCAATGGCCAACAAGAGTTGGTTTTAAAGTTGAAGTTTAACCATTTGAAGACCAGCATGTTTCACCTTCTTCCTGACCAGGCCATTTTTCAGTTTTCAGTACTGTCTTACGTTGAATGGCAATTACTTAGTCATTAAAAACTGTACCAAAATTAATTTGGTATTTAATCACCACTGTTTTTGTTATTTTAATATATAAGAATAAAAAGAAGAAAAAAAACCTTAAAAAAAATATAATTAGCTTTTCATAAATTTAGGTTAAAATCTGTTCCACATTCTATGATAAAAATAACCCAACTCGGTGTATATCATTTAGTCTCTGTGAAAGTTATAGAGTCTACAAACTATGGTATACAGTATATATGAATTGTATCAACCCAGATGTACTGGTTGTCTATCTAATTTCTTGAGGCCCTAAAATGCCAGGTCAGTACAAACACCCCCCAAATAATACATTTTTGGACAGTAGACAGTCCAAGGTATTTTGTAAGATGCATGGTGAGTTTTTTGAAGTTTTACATTTTTAGCCACAATGTTTTAGAAAATGAAGAAAGTAAATAACATTTGATTTTTAATCACAATTTGCCATTTAAACTGTTTAAATGACAGCATGGGAATGCTAACAATTATACCCCAAAACATAGTCTACTCCTCCCGAGCATGGGGATACCATCTATGTAAGACTTTTTTACTGCTGAGATTCATAGAGGATCCCACAATCCAAGGAGCACTGGTGACACTGAGATTGGTGTGGCAGCAACTAGAAACACTATAGAAGGCTGCACTGGTCTGGTGTGGCAGCAATCAGGAGCACTGTTGCTGGTTATAATGGTATGGCAACAGTAGCGCTGTTGCTGGTATACACTGATCTGGTGACACGGGGACTGATGTGGTGGCAATGATCATGAACACTGTTGCTGGCTTAGACTGGTCTGGTGACATTGGGACTTGTATGGTGGTGATCAGGAACACTGTTGCTGGCTTAGACTGGTCTGGAGTCACTGGGACTGGTGTGGCGAGACCAGGAACACTGTTGCTGGCTGCACTGGCCTGGCAATACTTTGATTGGTGTGGTGATGACTGGGGACACTATGACTGGCTGCACTATTATGGTGACACTAAGAATGGTCTGGCGGTGATCGGGGACACTGTGACTGACTGCATTGTTATGGTGACACTGGGCTCCATTCACTAAAGCAGATCACATGCGGTATTTAGGTGATCTCACATATTTTTCCCAGATACTGCATGCAATCCTTAAAATTGCAATTCACTATGCCACTATACTATGAGGTATTTTCCTTAAATTATCAAAAATGCTCAGTAAATACCGTATAAACCGGCCGAGTGCCCACAGACCCCCACAACCATCGCCAGGGCAGTGGAGAAGAGGTCCGTGTCCCCATCTACATGGGGACAAGTTGCTTTGAGGGGAGTCCCCCCTTCCCCAAAGCACCCTCCTATGTTGAAGGCATGTGGTCTGGTTCAGGAAGGGGGGGCACGTGCTTGTCCCCCCTTTTCCTGGCCTGCAGGGCTGTATGCGTGGATATAGGTCTGGCATGAATTGGGGGGGACCCCCACACTGTTTTTTTTTTTTATTTTTAAATGCCGGCAATTCTTTTGCTGTCATGGTTGTTAAGGAGATGGCGGCTGCCCGCCCCTTAACAACCAGCTATTGTTTGGTTGTTAGGGATGCGGTGGCTGCCTGCTCCTTAACAACCATTATATTTACTGGTTCTTAGGATGCTGGCGGCCACCTGATCCTTAGCAACCATGTTGTTTGCTGGTTGTTAAGGATTAAAATACTGCTAGCTTCCTTCATTAAAATACTCTACATCACTTTGTAAAATAGCTCATGTGGTTTTAGTAGCATTCTTTAGTGAATTGCAAAAACATTTTTTTAAACGCTAAGAGGTATTTTACTGAAGTTCCCAAAGTGGTAGATACCGCTTTGTGAATTGAGCCTACTGTGACTGGTGCGGTGGTGATTGGGGACACTGTGAATGGCTGCAGTGGTCTGGTGACACTGTACTGCCATGGCAGTGATCAGAGACAATGGCTGGCTGCACTGTCATACAGTGATATCAGAGCAATCATCCACTGTACGTGACAAATGCCACAACAACATAATGTCATTATAGTTACACTGTACTCTTCTGGTGACAATAGAAAAAAAACTGATCACAGTCACCAGAACAGTGCAGTGTCACTACGGTGACATTGTACGCTTGTGGCTACTGATCAGAGCCACTGGCTGCTGCATTGGCATGCAGTGTCATCAGGGCAGCCAGCATCTCTGATCACCAGACATTAGAGCAATACAATGTCTCCATACTGACACTGCACTGCTCAGTGGGGTATGATTGCTTTTTTTCACTCTCTGAATGTTCATTACAGTGCCAATCACTGTAATATACACTCTGCGTCATGCAGCTTTTATTGATAAGTGTGATCACGTTGATTGTTCACAGCAATCACATGGTATAGGGACAGTTTCATTAGCCCTCTACCCCAGTTTGTGATTCGCTGTTTCTGATGGACACAGCGATCACAGTGCACACCACTACATGCCCTAAAGCAGGCCTTGAAATTTCCACTCGCCTGCTTGCCAATGGTGAGTGGAAATTATGGTGGGGGCGAGTGTGTCCCCCAGGGCCATCTTGCTGTGCAGGCTCGGAGCTCAGGCCGGATCTGTCATTGGCACTGGGAGCAGTCAGACTGCTCAATAGCTGAGCGCAGTGAAAGCAAAGGAAGGAGTGTGTGCTGCGCTCTCTGCCTCCCCCTAGAGTGCAGTACCCGGCTCTGTGAGTGAACAACGAAGTACTGCAACTTTTTATAGGCGTGTGTGTGTGGTGTGTGTGTGGTGTATGTCTGTATGTGTGTGTGTGCCTACCTAATTTCAGCTCACTCTGGTCACATGATCCTCTATGTCAGCCAGTGGGGGCTTCAGGGGAGAGAAGAGAGCACTTAACAGCGTGCGTGTGTGTGTACGTGTGTGTTTCTGTGTATGCATGTACATGTGTGTATCTGTACATGTATCTGCATGTATGTGTGTACATATGTCTGTGTGTGTGCATGTACATGTGTGTGTGTGTGTGTGTGTTTGTACGTACATGTGTCTGTGTGTACATGTGTCTGTGTATGTATGTACATGTGTCTGTGTGTATGTACATGTGTCTGTGCATGTGTATTTCTGTGTATGTACATGTATCTGTGTGTATGCGTGTCTGTACATGCCTGTGTGTGTATACATGTGTCTGTATGTGTGTGTGTGTGTGTGTACATGTGTCTCTGTGCGTGTGTGTGTACATGTGTCTCTATATGTGTATATGTGTATGTACATGTCTGTGTGTTTGTGTACAGGTGTTTCTGTGTGTGTTTGTTGGTGGCGAGTAACTCTTAAGGCCTGGCTAGTAGCTCAGGACTTGAAATTTTAAGCCCTGCCCTAGAGGGTGCACACAAGCATCAGATGCGACTGGCCATAATGTATAATTAAAGCATAATTTCCAAATGATCCATCATCCATTATTGCTTGTCACTTTATAATGGTGCAGTCATAGTAGATAATAAAACAAACAGATTGTGCTAGTAAACAAAAAAGAAAAAAGTGTCCAGAAAATTATATATATAGTGAATGTCCAAAAAATATACGTGATAAATATATATAAATCATATAAAGTTCCAAAAATAACTCTACATAGTGTTGCTGATGAAAAAGTGTTCAAACGAAATCCACCAAGTATTTGGTGGTGAATTGACACTTGGTGGATTTCGTTTGAACACTTTTTCATCAGCAACACTATTTAGAGTTATTTTTGGGACTTTATTTGATTTACATATATTTATCACGTATATTTTTTGGACATTCACTATATATATAATTTTCTGGACACTTTTTACTTTTTTCTTTACTAGCGCAATCTGTTTGTTTTATTATTTGTGCACCTTATAAATATAGGGCGGATTTTGCAGCTGGTATAATTAATTTATTTATATATTGTTTTTAGTACATTGTGAGTTATATATATATCTTTTGTGGCCCCATCTATATTTATCTATATCAGTCACAGTTGAACCATCTTATATTTATCATGGAAGATCCATCAACCATGCTATAAAACAATTTTCAATCACCTAATGTCCTTTGTGGTCTACAAAATGCTCATTAAAGTAATTTGTTGCAATCATTCTTGTTTTAAACACTAAGTTTCCTCAGTGCTGTACATAATAATTAAACAGTAGCTGAACCCAGGACCCGACATTCACTATATCTGGTCTCATACAGTACACAGAACATGGAAATGCAATTATTTTAGTAAATATGAACTGCTAAATATCTTTTCTTATCATCAGTACTGTAGCTAGTTGTGCAAATCTTAATTACATAAAAAAATGATTGATCATCACCTATTAAACAGCTACATTACAAATGTACTGGGTGCAGGGGCGGATTGACAACTCATGGGGCCCCTGGGTAATAAGGGATCATGGGGCCCCTTTGTCCTTGCCCAAACTCAAAAAAGCCTATGAAAAAGGTACCAGGGGCATCTCATGGGGCCCCCTACTGACCCCGGGCCCTCGGGCAGTGCCCAAGTTTCCAAATGGTCAGTCTGCCCCTGACTGGGTGGATTTACTTACAGTTAAGTACTGGGTCTATTTACTTACAGTTAAGTCTCAGAAGCACCACCTCTCAGGTGTGGTTCTTTGCTCAGGATGAACAAAAATAGGCACCAGACACTGTAGAAGATTTTAAAACAGTATAGGTTTAATGCATGTGCAATATGGGAAGAATAGTGATGCACAGATCAGGATATCCCTATATAATATGGTTCTTAATCATTAGACTTTAGGCCATAATAATGTCTCTCTCTATGTTCAAAACAACTCAGGCTCTATGGAAATTGAGGTTCTAGTGGCACCTTTCATATTATCTTCCAAGGCAGGCAAAACATCGGAAAGGTTCCTGTGTATAACTTTCCACTCAACCATTCTCTCACCACATCTTCTTGTAATGATTGTGCGCAATAGGGACATGGAAGCTGTAGGCAACAGCCATCTTGTTAAGGTCTCAGCCATTTTGTTTTCATGAGCAGTGATCTTCCTTCCTCCCTCCTCCTGCAAACTATGGAATTTGTAGCCATAACTTTTAACAAAAGCCTCTTATCTCAATCAGGGACAATGGGAACTCAGCAAACAGACCTGGCCAGCATTGTAAAACATTAATTGAGGTCTGCAGAATGTCTGTTTCCACCAACCATGAAAAAGTCTTCCCTCTGACCTATCATAAAACCATAATAACTCAGTCAAGCCTGTCACACATGACATGCAAGGCCATTAAAGCTCTAGGAATGCAGAGAGTGCCATAGCACGTCTATTTTGCACACGATTCATAAAACTCAACAGGAATAGGACACATTAATATTAGGTATATATTTCAATAGGGAATATCAAACCGAACAGTTCAAGGTCATACATGACTATGTTAGCACATACAAAAAGGAAGAAAGCAGTCTCCTTCCTCCTGGGTGACAGATCAGTCCAAGGTACACTGTTTGGTATCACTGGATATTAAATATAATTCTGAATATTAATCTGCCAATTTCTAGCATACCACCTGAACATATTGGAAGATATTAATATTAGTATAAAACTGTATTTGGGACTTGGTCATAAACTTGGTGACCTCCCAGCACCCATCCCCTAAACTGGATGATTGGTCAGTTGTCTACACCCCTTTGATATCACAGCAAAGGCAATTACAGGACCTGGTAAAGAAGTTCTTGTTTTAAAATCAACCAAGGAACACCCAAGAGAGCCACTGCAACCTTCTTGCTTGGACAATTGAACTCTGCGAAAACCAAGGATTTTGCAAGTATTCTTTCTTCTTAACTCCTTTGTTTTATTTCTCTATTGTGTTATTGTTCTCTTTATTTCTTTGTAACATCTTTTCTGTAAATATTTTAATTGTACCATTTGAAATTTTCATTAGTAGACCCTATTTTGAAAAGTGTTAAAACTATCTCTAAGGCTTTTAATGCAAACTAAAGAAACCCTGTCTCTTGAAGAGTGCTACTGTGTATGACAAATATCTAAATATCCATATCCATCTTATTAAGCAGCATTGTGGAGAGACACCATGTGGATCATTAGCATACAACAACGTGCAACCAGCTGAGTGAGAGATCTGGAACAGGAGTAGTTTTCATCTGTCCTGTTAGGACAAAAAGTGTTTTTTGCCTATTTATATATTAGGCAAAAATTGGAGGATTGCTGAGTGGAGGATTTATGAGTGGAGGAGGAGTAACGTAAGAGAAATCTACTGCTTTTTAAAGGAAGATTTGTATCCATCCATGTGGCGTTACCATCCGGAGCCCTATGTGAAGCACACAAGTGCTATATGACCTTACTTAGTGGATCAGTCATATATTCCAGGAGTACCTCTCTGCAGAGTCCTTATTAGGAATTCAAGCACCCACCTGAGAGGAGGAAGAATTTTGCTCTGCACCTTTGAAGAAAGGAAAGGCCAATCCACAGTGACCAGATCTATCTCTTCTTGACTGAGGATCCATGAGCTTTTGATATATACTGCTTATATATATCCGCCTTCTGGTGAGTGCGCATTTCTGCTACTTCCTCATGGATCACCATTGTGGATTTTCATCTGTCACCTGGCACATTTATATGAACTGGACTTACAGTGGACAGTTTTCAGTTTTATTTATTAGCGCTGCACTTTTATTCATAAATATCTAAATATACCTGTCTGCAGTGACAGTGTGTGTTACAGATGTTCACCTTTGTTCTTGCTAACATTGTGAAGGGTTGATAGGCCCAAAGCTATCTGGTGGCAGTTTGGAGTTTGAAGGGTTACTTATTAACCTAACCCAGTGACAATCGCTCTCAGGCTGCTGGCACCTAGATTGTGGTCCCACAAGTTGGAAAATCTTTGTGGCATTGTTGTGCACGTGACGCCATGGTGTGAGAATGATTGGTCCTTTGTCACGAGTTGGAGAGAAGGGCAGGGGTCGGACACCGCGTTCGTCACACTCCATACGTGGGACAGTTACAGCTTTTGTTCCTGAAGGCCATATGTTCTTTTCTTCAGCATCCGACACCTTCAGAAGGTTGTCTCAGAAAGGGAGATCCTTGCATCTTTCCATGTGGTAGGCCCAAGACCTAGGGAAGACTAATTTCCTAGGATGGCATCCTCACGGGACAAAAGCCCAGGAGGGAAAAGACAAAACAGGAAGTGACTTAGATATTTAAATTGGAACTATGCTGCATCAGAGCATCACAAACCAAAAATGCTATTTAATTCATTTTTAATATGCATAGCAAACTTCCCCATCTATCCATGTCTTCATGCTTTATTTTGCTGAGAAATCACTTTGAAAAAAATCTCACCATCATTTCTGGCTGTGGCCATCTTGAGCAAGGGCTGATGATTCATGTAGCATTTACTTCTTGGAATCCATATGCCCTTAGCTCAGGCATGCAAGCAGGAGGGTGTGCTTAGCTGAGAAAAATCTCTCCTCCCATCCTAAAAACTCCTGGGATGTGTGACATCATTTGCCTAGGCATGGAAACCAGGAAGTAACTGAAGAAATGTAAGAAAATGTTTAAAACAAGTACATATGGTATACTTTCCTATCTATTTACTAATGCTAGTAGCATGAGGATTACAAATAGTACATTTTGATTGAAAGAGTGAAGTTCCACTTTAACAGTTCTCCCAGAATGCCTTTGCAGGTTCCCCTGCCTAGCCCTTCTGACTGGCCAGGCTATCAGACAACCAAAAACCCAGAATAATTCCTCTTTAGCCAACCCAGCTGGATCACGTGCAAAAGATGTGGCAAAAATACATTCTACACTTAGAGAAACACTACTGTTGAGATACAGCTGAGCTGGACACTAGTAGAGTTTTGTTCTATTTTTTTTTGTTTTAGGAATGTTTGTTCATTCTTTTAATCATCAAACATTTATCATTGATGTTCATTTTCAACCACAGTGAAGAGAAAATGAAAATGAGCAGGATGGAAATTTTTTCTCAAACAAAATGTTTGAACTGCTTTGGAGGAAAAGAAATTTAATCTACAATCACGGAAGGTTTCTTCACAGTGAGAGCTGTGAA